ATGTCATTAACATGTTGGTGTATATACCCTTCCAGAAATTTCTTTATGCATATATATATATATATATATAGTTTCTTAAGATACATTATTTCCAGTAACTGTTAATTGTCACATGCTGTGGAGATGTGAAGTCAAGATACAGGTAAGGATTCTAAGCAGGAGCATGTCAGTTAAGCTACAAGAAGGCTGAGTGTTAGCTTGAGCTAAGTCTTCTTAAAGGGCAAGGAGGTCAGCCAGGTGGACAGAGGTAAGAGTGGCTCCCCCAGCAAAGGGGGCCTGTGAGGCCTACAGAGGTGGACACAGAGCCTGGATGGTGGTGAGTGGGCTGGGGAAGGAGACAAGCTGGCGGTCCGGATGGCCCGAGGGAGAAAGTAGTATATTCCACAGTAATAGCCAGGAAGCTCCTTCTGACAAAAATTAAACCTAGATATCCACAGAGAAAACTGGGACAGATGTATTGAGGACATAGCTGTACATTTTTAGACTTCAAGTTGTAGGTTTTGTCAGATCTGCTGTACATCTTTCGTGTGGGAAGAGGCCAAAAAGGTTGAGTATCTGATTCTCCAGTCTCAATGGAATGTGAGAGCAGAAAAGGCAGATGGCATATTCTAAATGCAAGCTTGAAAACAGTTATGAGATGACGAAGTGTTTTTACAAGTCAGATTTTATGAGATGTCACATTATTTTCGTACATGTTTATTTTAAAAGGCAGTTTTTAACGATGATAGCTTCTGGGCTGTTTTTTTCCACTTCTGGATCTAAAAGCGGATTATAATTTCACTCTCAGCTCAGTGGGAAGTAATCAGCCTCTTCCCAGTCACAGCAGCCTCACTCCTACCCCAGGACAGAGACCCTAAGGGAACCATCAGATAATCTGAAAGCCACAAGTGATCAGTCGGACATTTAGACTTGTATGTTAATAAGTATATGCTGAAACACATACCTCCATTTAAAAAACGGAACAAGGGGCTTCCCTGGTGGCGCAGTGGTTGAGAGTCCGCCTGCCGATGCAGGGGACACGGGCTCGTGCCCCGGTCCGGGAGGATCCCACATGCCGCGGAGCGGCTGGGCCCGTGAGCCGTGGCCGCTGAGCCTGCGCGTCCGGGGCCTGTGCTCCGCAACGGGAGAGGCCACAGCGGTGAGAGGCCCGCGTACCACAAAAAAAAAATAAAAATAAAAAACGGAACAGGGACTTTCCAAGAGGTCCAGTGGTTAAGACTCAGTGCTTCCACTGCAGGGAGCACGGGTTCGAGCCCTGGTTGGGGAACTAAGATCCCACATGCCGCGTGGTGTGGCCGAAAAAATTAAAAAAAAAAAAAAAACGGAACAGTTGTGACCCTCCTTGAATTTTGACACTTACCCACTAATGTGAAGTGCCGACCGTCCCTCCACCCACAGACCACTTCATATGCTCACGTTGGCTAATAGAAAATTTCAACAGAGCTTCTGTTCATCTGAGTCCCTCTTTAGGCCAGGCTAGAAATCATCCTAACGTTAACATTTGGGGAGGGGCGTGGCCAGGCACACTGTTTACCTCTGTCCCGCTCTCCTAACTTCACCAAGACAAATACCTAGGATACGATATTTGACAATGAAAAACCTTTTGGAATCCTCTGCATTTTTCTCTGTATCGCTATCTCATTGATGATGATTAAGGGAAAAAATTGTGTTGTATAAGGACCCATGTCACACAATAGATGGTAACTTACTAAAAATTGTCAGTTTCAGTGATATTTACAACATTTCTGAAGGAATGCAAAGGCTGGACCTGTCTAGGATGCTGTCTCTTATTGGGACTCACTGGGCCTAGTGGGTGGCAACACCAGTGCACTCAGGTCAGCAGACAGTGAGTTGGAGCCAGGGCGCGTGGAGGGCTCAGGACCTGGCAGGCGTGGGCTGGAGCCGGGAGTCGCAGGACCCAGGTCCACCGGGACCAGCTCCTCTGTCCACCCCCTTCTCTGAAGAGGGCCGTATGGTGGCTGGGACCACCTGCAGGCAGGGTCCCCTGCCTGCCTGTCACCTGTGTGTCCCCCCGCCAGTGCAGAGGGAGCCAATGTGGCTGCCCCGTCCAGCTTCTCGGGGTCAGGCTGCTCCAGGAGAGGCGCGTCTCTCTGGTTAGAACACTCTCCAGCCACTCGGCTGAGCTGGGAGTTGTGCCCAAGAAGCTTCCATCAGAAAGGGATGTTGTTCAAGGCAGGCACCATTGACAGGTGCAACTGTACTTGTATGACCCCTTCACGGTGAAAGATTCAGAAAAAAAAAGGGACTTTGGAGTTGAGAGGGTAAAACCTCCTCATGGAATTTCTCTCTCCCGATAATTGTCAAAATGAGAAAGATATTAAGTGTTTAAAACAGCAACCAAAGGAAAGGATATGTCCAATAAACTATTGACCAAAGGAAGAAATATCTCTGAAAAGGAAAGCAGACGTGTTCCATCGTGCTTTCTCTCTGGTTAAAAGGTGTCTCCTGTGACGGTCAGTTATGTCACTACCATGTGGAAAGTCGTGGGAACCGCTAACGTCCACTGTCATTCTGTGCAATCAGGATCAGATGTTTCCAAAACTGGTCTTAACAGTGTTTTACTCCCCTTGAGAGCTTGATATTTATTATAGAAATAAAGCTGTACAAATAGACCTATAAATCTTATTTTTACTTACATGCGTTAAACGCCTAGAGAACAGCCCTGATGCTGGTTCCATATGGGGTACAAGACATCAGCAAGACGGAATCATCCTCCATGGGGCCCACAGCCCAAGAGAGCAGCTAAGACAGGCACACAAATAGCCAATAATATGCACAGAGAAACAGGCGCCAGGAAGGATAAGCAGATCCTGCTGAGCAAGGGCAGAGTCTTTTTGACCTGGGAGAATCCAGGATGGCTTCACAGAGGAGGGGATATTTGCCTCAGACCTAAGAAGAATTTTCCACAGAAGAAGATGGGAAAATGAATTCTGGTCAGAGATAGGTGGGCACCCTGACCCCCTCCGGCCTGTGCCCGTGCTCCAGCCAGAGTCATGACCCGACAGGCAGATCCATTCATGCCAGGCTCCCGCGGAGACCCCCCAGGTGGCTGCCCTGCTCTCAGACCAAGTTCACACTCTCTGAGGAGCACGGCTCATGGGCCTTCCAAAGTCCGCCCCCTCTCTGTGTCTCTGTCTCTGTCTGTCTGTCTGTCTGCTGGCCCTGTTCCGTACGCCCCTGCCCTACTAACTTCCAGTTACCAAAGGCAACGCGGCCTTCCAGCTCAGACTCACACGGACTGGTCTCTCTGCTGAAAGCGCTTCCACGATGCTCCCCTTGCTTTCCCTCCCCCACCTCCACCTCCACCCATGAAGGCGCACACTCACCACCTATAGGGGCTCCCAGAGGCCAAATACAGGACGACCTGAGTATCCAAAACCAAAAGAGAAACAGCACGTCCGTCAGCAACGCACTGACTAAAAAATACAAAAGATCCGTGAATGCCTGGTGATACCCGGAGAGAGAGAGGCGGGGAGAGATGAGGAATATCTCTGAGTATTCGTTAGCTATTTTAGATGCCCCTTTCTGTCCGCGAAGCATCGTTTCGTCCGAGGACATGCCTTTTTCCAGCACTGGTCTCCGTGCTTCTCGGGCTGATTCTTCCCGAATGACTGGGTGTCCCGGGCTGTGTGAGTGAGTGGGGCTCCTTCCCCCGTGAGCTTTGATTTCCTGTGGGTCCTGGAAGGTGGGTCAGTTGCTCCATAGGCGTGGAGCCCCCAGGAGTTCTGGGTCCAGGTTCTCCCCCCGCTTCTGCAAGGCGGGTGGCCTCGCGAGGAGGCTGTGTTAGGCCCTGCGTGTTCCGTGAGCTGTGGTTCAGGCAGGTCTCCCGTGTCACCCCACCCCCGCAGGAGGCAGAGTCCTCCCGCCACCCTGACCTCCTCCTGGGAGCTCCCATCGCTCTCGTGAGCTCGTTCCACGTGTCTTCCCGACTCTGCCACGTGGAGTAGGGGAGGAAAGGTAGGCGGGGATCCGGTACACGGGCGCTGCCGAGCCACGGCCCGTGGCGCGCGGGGTCCCAGAAACGAGGGCACAGCCTATGCCCAGAGTCACCAGAGATGCTCACCATCTTACTGCCGCTCCTCCTTCATGCTGTACAGAGGGCACTTTGATTGCTTAGGGAAACTCCCCATAGGCATGGTGTAGACCAGCATCCTTCCTTTTGCCCTTTGTGGGGTGACCATAACCAGGATTTTGGTCATCGGGCACCTGACTCAATACAGTACAAACATTATTGCCCAGAAACGTCAGATGGGGCTTTGCGAGGTATGGCTCTTCACGACGCGGAACAGCCCTGGTGGGGTAGGGCGAAGGGGACTTCTGCTGGGGGTCAGGGCAGACCCTCCAGCTGCAGTGGCCGGTGTCCCTGCAGCTCCGATCTGGCTGCACAGAGGCAGCCGGGACCAAGGATGGCGTAGCCGGGCTCTCTCTGCAGCGGGGGCCCGGGGCAGGGAGGCTGGCAGGACCTCCAGCTCAGGCTGGGGCTCAGGACTGGCTTCCTGGCCCAGGGAGGGGACAGGCAAGCCAAGAAAGGAGCAGCCCGGGTGCTCCTACAAACCACCACCTGACAAGTGGTGGAGCAGAACACAGACGGAGAGCAGCAGCAAACCTGGGTCACGGGAACGTGGCGAAGGAGGTGGCAGGACTTGGGTGGGCATCAGCTTTCAGAGCAAGGAAGGAGCAGAGCATCAAAGGACAGGACCAAACTCGGGGTGGGGTACCCCAGGGAGCCTGAAGTTAGAGCCAAGTCTCCAGACCATCCCCGCCCTGGTCGGTGGACACAGCACTCCCTGCTCAGACTGGTCAGCAGGGAAACTGCCCAGGTGGGCAGACGAGGGGCTGGACCTTCACCCCACAAACCAGAAAAGAGTCTACGTGCTTTTCTATAGTCACAGCAGCCACGATGTACGTGCCTCTTACTGTCTGATGACGACAGGTAAACTCTGCCTGTGATTAACAAGTGTATTATTCTGCTTTCACAGGACGAAGGTGACGGCTGGCAAATGTCACCGAGTGTTTTCCTTCATATGATGCAAGAAGGAAATAACGTATACAAAGGTCAGTTTAGCAGAATAGGTGTGCTCCTGTCCACCCAGTGCAGCCTCAGCCTCTGTTGGGCAGAATTTGGTGCCCAATCACGAGAGGCTGCAAACATGCAATTCACAGCCAAGACCTTCTGTCCGTCTCTCTTTTAAAATTCCTTTGGGTGGCTTCAAGGCATATAACTGGTAAGAGAGCAAGATGAGAACATAATCTAAACCCCTGTTCTGTTTTAAACCCTTGAGATTTCAGCTGAACCTTCTCTTGCTAGGAATGAAAGGGAAGGATTTTCCCTGGGTTGTTTAAATTAAGAAAATCAAAGCCGTATGTACGGTAAAATGTTTTAATCCTACTAGACTAAGACTCGTGCCTGAACACTGACACCTAAATCTTTTCTCCCATGTTCAGCATACTTAGCAGAGTATAATCTGGCTCATTCGGCAAGCGTATGAATTGGTCTTTGAGATACTCTCATTATACTTTACTGGAATGGTTACCCAAATCCTGTGGTTCCATTCCACCCTCGCAACAAATCCCAACACAGAATGACCTGCCAAGGTGACCCTGGCCATCAGTGTTTGGAAGTTCCTGAAAAATGCAATAAGTAGAATGTTTCCATACTCCAGTCACGTGCGTGCCTCATTCCTAATTCTGGTCTTAGGTGGACAGCACCGCTACTATTATTTACTTAATATCTACTTTTAATTGACGCACGGTTTTTACCCCAATTAATTGAGCCTCATCCTCAGCAACTATATCAAAGGTCGTTGCAGGTTTGATATGCCGGTTCTATAAAATAAGAATGTCCATGGACTTCCCCCCAGCAATCCAGTGGTTAAGACTCCACACTTCCACTGCAAGGGGAGCGGGTTCAGTCCCTGGTCAGGGAACTAACGTCCCGCATGCCATGCAGCGTGGCCAAAAAAAGAAAAAGAAAAAAGAATGTCCATGTACCTCCTGAAATTCTTTCACTTACCACTAGTGGCAAGGGTCCCACTCTACCTGAGATGCTGAACGAAGGCAGAAGCACAGGGATAGGATGACCCCAGCAGGATTTAGCGACTGCTTTAATTGGGGAGGAAGGAGGTCAAAGGGTAAATTAACACTGATCAGGTGCCTGAGACGCAGAAGGCTTTGTGTTTTCGTTCCCATCTTACTTACCTTTATAACAACCAGGAGCGGTAAACATCACTTACCCACCATCAGCAGTTCTGATCTTCTGTCAGTTCTACTGATAGAAGACCTGCCATCATTCATGTTTGAGAACATCAACCTTTTTCTTTTCCATTATGGTTTATTACAGGATATTGAATATAGTTCCCTGTGCTATATACAGTAGGACCTTGTTGTGTATCCATTCTACATAGTTTGCATCTGCTGACCCCAAACTCCCACTCCAACCCTCCCCCATCCCCGCCACCCCCTTGGCAGCCACAAGTCTGTTCTCTATGTCTGTGAGTCTGTTTCTCTTTCAAAGATTAGTTCATTTGTGTCATATTTTAGATTCCACCCATAAGTGATATCATATGGTATTTGTCTTTCTCTTTCTGACTACTTGACTCAGTATGATAATCTCTAGGTCCATCCAGGTAGCTGCAAATGGCATCACTGCATTCTTTTTTTATGGCTGAGTAGTATTCCATTGTATATATGTACCACATCTTCTTTATCCGTTGCTCTGTCGATGGATATCTAATTTGTTTCCATGTCTTGGCTATTGTAAATAGTGCTGCAATGAACACTGGGGTGCAAGTATCTTTTCAAATTACAGTTTTGTCCGGATATATGCCCAGGAGTGGGATTTCAGGATCATATGGCAACTCTGTTTTTTAGTTTTCTGAGGAACCTCCATGCTGTTCTCCACAGTGACTGCACCAACTTACATTCCCACCAAGATAATAGCAACTCTTTAACAAACAATGGTGCCAAGCAATCACTATCAAAGCATCCATTCACTTACATATTCACTCAACAAACATTGATTGACTCCAATGTGCAGGTGCAATGCTAGCCTGGAGCTACAAAGCTGGCACATGCCGTCAGCAGGCTCACAACACACCAGGTGCTGTGGCGGTAGATGGGTGGGGACAGTGGCACAAGTTGGATGGCTTGTTAGGCTGGCCTCAGCCGCCTCCAAGGGACCCAGCTAGGAATCGCAGTAAGTCACAGGCCTGGCTGTGGTGCCCCCGGAACTCAGGGCTGGGTCCCAGACAACAGCTGCCATTTGTGAAGACACCACTTCACGTGACTTCATGTATTGGTCTGTACACACTGTCTTTCGTTTCCTATTCGGCATATCTATCACCAGCCTTTGAGATAATTTTCCAGGCTTTCAACACGTTAGGTAATTGGCCGGCTACTATTCTTCTGAACACCTCCCCTCCGCAGCCCTGCCAGCTGTCCTCCTTGGGGCTTCCTTTGACTTCCCTGACTGTCACCCCTTCATTTTCCTGTTACTCCCTCATTTTGGTGGAGCCTGTCCTACTGGGTGTCCTGAGAGGGGCTGCCGGTGGGGAGTCTTAGGTGCCAGGTACATCTCAGTGCACTCGCACTTGGGATTTGGAAGGCCTGGCTCCCTTGGCCTCTGATGTAACTGCAAATGCAGAAAGAAAGAAAAGTGGGGAAGAGCAAAACTGTCACCTACCTTAACAAGGAGTCAGGAGCCCGTGTCTAAAATTGATGCATCAAGAAGCAGCAGCATACGCGTATTATCTAGACATTGGGAGAGGAACAAACAACCAAAAGAGCCCACGTGAAGCTAGATCACTTCACGCCCCCCTCCCCTGGCCCCCCCCCCCTCAGGGCTGTCGTGCTTTCTGTTCCCCTTGCCTGGAATGCTTTTCCCTTCAGGCCTTCTCCCGCCTCACCTGTGCCCGCCCCTGACCCCACTTTACTCACCTTCCTCTGACTTCCATGTGTGTGTTTGCTGTCTCCCCGCAGGGGGTGGGAGGGGGGCGCCAGGGCCATGAGGGCAGGGCATGAATTTCATAATTTACAAATAGATCAGATTTATGAATAAATCTGAATCTAGTCAATGCATTTCTGAATGAATGAATGTGGGAATAAATGCCACTGGACAGTGTAACTGGAAGGCAGAGTTTTTTTATTATAATCTTTTCAATACTCTGACTTTAAAATAAGGTGCATGCATTATTTTGATAAAAACAGTAATTAACTGGGGGGACATCTACTGTTCCCATGGGAAGCCTGCAGACCCACCCAGCAAAGCTCTTGAAACGACCCACACCTGGTGTGTAATATCTGTTTCCATCAAGACTAAGAAAACACAAGCCACTCCGGAGCAGGAAACATGAGGTGTGATTTTCCTAGTCGGCTGTTGGGGCATTTGATGAGTTATCTGTCAGGTCTTCGGTAACTTACAGAAATTAATAAATGTTTTCATCTGAGAATTCTTTTCATAAAAATCAACGGTTTTCCTTCTCAGACGAAACATTAGCATTTTAATCACTGAGATTAAGCCTCCTCCTTGGTCACCCCTCAACGTGCAAAAACTGCCACAGCTCCCGCAGCTCCCGCTTTCCCAATTCTGGGATAAAAGCTCATTCTCTGCTGTAGGAAAGAGCGGGGCAGTTGTTTTCCTTTGAGAGCCATGAACAGCTTCCTGCATTTAGAAATATCCATGAAATTCTTGAAGGGATTGAGAAGGGCCCTGTGCAAAAGTGTCATTAGAAAAACAAAGTTGCAGTGGAAAACTAGGTCCATTTGCATGAACTAGAGGTGAAACCAGGAAAGGCTGCTACGAGCTGCTTTATTTGTAAAATATAGTTACAGCTCCAGAAATGGGAATGTCACAAGGTGCCACTGCTTTTACATAAATAATCACATCTTGCTTTTTCCTTTCTGTTGAATATTCTGTGTTCCTTTCATTTTGAAACGTATTGCTTCCCAATCTTAGTAAGTCAATCCCGTGAAAAAGCAGTGTAGCTTCCTTTAAATAACAAAGCAGTTTTGCTCTAAAAGATCTTAATGCAACAGATGGATTTTGCTGTGGGAGGGAGATTTAGTCATCATCCAAGGGGGAAATCTGCTAGAAAAGAGTTGTTATTAGTGAATAGCACGTTTTAACACAGTTATAGTATTTTCAAGGGGGAGAGCTTACAATTTTAAACCCATTAAAAAAGAAGCATTATATTATGCCTGCATTTCAAAGTTTTCCACAGTCTAAGCTTATGTAAATTTCAGAAAACATACAGAGAAGGGGCAGTTGCCTTCAAGCCTGTGAGCCAGCCTCGCCTTTGTGTACTCACACCTTCCAAGCTCACTGCAAAATCCCCCTTCTCGGGGAGTGGGGGGGGGGGGGGGCGCAACCGCGACGCAAAAATAAATTTTCCCTCTTTAGAATGTGGAAATTAAATTGTATTTCTTTTCTTTTTATTGCATAGGTAAGTAGTATCAGGACATGCAGATGAGAAAAATTATTCAAAATCCTACCAACCCTCAATAACCACTCTTGTCCTTTTGGTGTCTAGTCTTTTAAGTGCAGCTTTTGCATACAGATGTGTAACCTGCTTTTTTCAACAAACATACAATGTAACCGTACAGAAGACGTTGCATCAGAGGGTATGGATGTGAATGTATGGCAGGGGGGGCCGGGGGGGGGGGGGGGGGGGGGACACAGGCACTCAGGCCAGAGCAGAAACTGAGGTCCCCCTCAGGCGTACAGGAGGCACACCCCCAAACCTCTCCTGCCGTATCATCCCGTCCCATCGTCTGAGCCCTAGCGGCTGGGCCACCTCTCACGTGGCCACCCTGCGTGGGAAGGACATGAGGGTGAATCAATTCTATGAAAATTTTACCCCCTCTGTGATGAGTTTCTTGTCGATTTCTTATAAATCCACACTAGCCACCCTAGAAAAGGTTTGGGTACTTTCATCATCCTCATTTTCAAAAATCTGCCCCTGAAACTTTGCATCACCCGTCGGTTTCTCCTTGCTATCTTCCTGGCACAGACTATGACCAGCCAAGGACTGGCCCCATCCAGGCCGCACTGCCCTTGGTTGGCTGGTGGGAGGCTGGTGAGCCTAAGAGCCCTCGCCGGGCCTGGAATCCAGACAGGCCGACCCCTCTGCCCAGCTAACTGTCCAGGAAGTGAGCCAGGCCTGACCTGTGTGTGGCCATCACCTTGTGATGCCCCCTCTCGCTTCCAGAGATCTCCGTGCCAGCCTCTGGGAGCAGCGTCAGGGTCTCCAGCCTGTGGCTTGTGGAGCCAACCCACACTTTGGGAAAACTGGAGCTGTACAGCCACATCCTGTCCTGCCTCCCTTGCGTCCTGTGTGGTCCTGACTCGGACGCCGCTAAGGGGACACTCCCAGTGGTCCTCCGCCTCCTCACTTCCACTTTCTCTCTGGGCACAAGTGGTTTTAGAGTAGCCACTGTCCTGCCTGGTTCCTCGCCCTTCGCGAGGTGGAGACTGTTGACAAGGAAAGGGAAGACTGTAAGACCAGCAGCTGGAAAGCGGTAGCATGGGGGACCCACCTGCCGGGGCTGCTGCCTGGCTGGAGCCCTCGGGCGATGCCCTCGCCCAGTCGCCCGTTCTTGTGCATCTGCATCTCGTCGGCCTTTTGCTCCATCTCCCCAGGATCTGCAGCCATTCCTGGCTCACACCGCGTGCCATCCCTTCTCCTTTCCTTTCTCGCTTCTGCTCATCCCCGGCCTCCATGATTTACCTGGAGATTCCACCCTCCTCTCTCATCTGTTTGCCCACTTGACTCTCCAAGAATCTTTTCTGCTGTCCGCCTTCACAGTTGACACCTCCTGCTCTGTGCGCCCAGACATATGTTTCTGCCTGTGACCATGACTGTCCTCTATGGCTTGTCCTCTAATGCCACCCTTCTTAGTGAGCTGTGTCGGGGGACACAGTCCTGGCTAGTCCCAGGATTCTGTGCGGTGCTCGTAGGAGAAGCTGTGCTTGAGAAACTTCCATCCCATCGTTCACCGCCTGCCATCCAGGCTCCACACGACCCCCTTTCTTCCCAAGCCATAGCCGTTGTCAGACGGAGGTGGGGAAACCCCTGCCTGGGGCCCCGTGGCCCTCGGTTGCCTCCCCGAGTTGCACGGCATCCGTGCTCCAGGGATGTGTTCCAGGCAAAGTGGCCCAGCGGAGTGGTGGTTGCAGGTTTGGTTCCAGAAATTTTCCATCACATTCTAACACAAATTCAGGGAAGAGATCTCATTTCCCAAACTGGCAAGTCTTTTTCCCCTGGGAGATCCCCCCCCGCCCCCCCCCCCC